GGCTTTTTTGGGTCTTGTGCCTTTTGCTTTGGCTCCAGACTGGCTCTTGCTTGCTTACACGTCTGCTCCATGACCCTGACCAACATCCCGTCTGCTTCATCTCTGTGTCCCTGCCTGAGTCCAACCCCACCCACCCCCAAGCCAGCCCACCGCAGCAGTCCTTGCTGTGATCCTGTCCAGAGGCTCCTGCCTGAGTGTCCCCTCACCTCGTGTCCAGTAATCCGCTGCCGCAGAATCCGTCCACAGGCAGGCAGCGTGCGCAGCCTCCACCTTGGGGACGTCAACAGCATTCCCCGGCCTCTGGTGGTAATGCTCCCTTTCCCTCTGCCTCTGCCCCTCTCTTTCCCCTCTCTCCAACTCATTTCCCATTTCCCTTACTTTCTTCCTGTCTTTTCTAGCCCTCCTTGGTTCAGACAACTCCTTGTCTTTTTGTTTTTTCATTACAAATAAGCAGTTCTCAGACACTACGCTTGCCTTGTTTGGCTTAATTTCGTTCCTGACCATCCATTTTTAAGGAACTCCTCGCAGTTTCCCACAGTGAAATACGACAATGGCAAACACCAGCTCACAATAATGAAGGTGGGCAGTGGCACTGGATGGTTGTTGCTTCGGTCTACATAGGGTGGGGGATGTGAAGGGCTATTCCAAAAGCTGTGCATCCCAAATAGGTGTAAGGTGCATATGGTGCATGGGAGAATACATCAGGACACAGGGAGAGAAGCAACAGGGGTGGAGCAAAATGCACCAAGTCCAGCCTGGCTGGATGAACTGGGCAGTTACGGAAAACTGATTTTTGAGCACTTGGTCTTCTTAAGTGCACTCCCTGTATCTGAAATACAACTGCATGGAAGCATCCCTGCTTTATGCTGCCTGTACAGAGTGCAGGCTTCTTCCCGAAGTGGAGCCTGCTGGTCATCAAGTAAATACTGGATGTATGCTGCCGGTTGACTTAATTCTGCCTCTCTCTGCCCATCATCTATGAATCCAATGACTGTGAATTTATTCATCTACAATTATTTACTGAATTGTGAAAAGTTTTGTGAGTTCTACTTCTCAGGTTTAAAATTGGAATGTATGGTACCAGGACACAAACCCATTGTCCTGAGTTTCCTGGAGGACTTTAACTGTCAAAATCAACATTAATATTTATTATAAGGAGTGCATTGCTGTGGAGAATTTAACACAGTCAGCAGCTCAGTGTTCAGGTAGCCTTTTGCTTAATCCTGCCACAGCAGGATGGGGGAGAAAAAAGGAAGAGTGGTATTGAGAAAACTGAAGGGTTGAGACAAAAAGAGGTTACCAAAAGGAGGGAGGAAAAGAAAAACAAAGGCATCCACTAACCACCTCCCACAAATAGACTGATAGTGATAGCCAGTCCCTGAGCACCATTTGCTTTGGAGAAACTCCCTCCCCAGTTTCTTCTAATGAGTATGGCACTGTTTTGTACAGGTACCCTTTTGGTCAGTTGGTATCAGCCCTCCTCAGTTGCCCCTGTATCAGCTTTTTTCGCATTCAAGGTTCCTCTCTGACTCTTGATGCTATGCTGGTTTGCTCAGTAAGAGCCAGTTTTTGATGTGCTATCAACCCTGTTTCAGCCACAAATCCAGAGCACAGCACTGTTCTTGCTGCTGTGAAGGTAACTAACTCCATCCCAGTTACATGAGGTACACACACCATCAGTAAATCATTAGCAATTTAAAAAATGTGAGGGTGAAAATTCTGGACACCTTCACTGTCATTCCCTTTGTATCAATTACATCAGTTTGTTGGGACATTAAGCAACATGGTCTAGTGGGACACATCCCTGCTCATGGCAGGAGAATGGAACAAGATGGTCTTAAAGGTGTCTTCCAACCTAAACCATGCTGTGACTCTATTAATTAAAAACTGTAATGTCAGTTGCTAGAATGGTGTTAAAATTCACACAGAGAGTACAATAGCTTAGGTCAAACAGAAGCTGATGTCAAACAAAATGGGAATTTCCTTATTGTTGTTTCATAAACCCCATGCTTGGGCAAACTGTGTGACAGAATTTGCCAGTGCATGCAGGACACCTATGCTGATGGTCCAAGAGCATTTCTTACACCACAAGGCTACACAAGAGGTTTGGCTCTGGCCACACAGACCAGACAGCAGTGATAAGGACATGCATGCCCTTAGAGGACAGAGGTGCTGCCATGAGATGGAAGGTGGAGAGAAATACGAGCTTGAAAAAGCATCAGAAGGAGCACAAAGCAACCCTCAAGCATGCCTGTGCATCCGAATGTAGATACATTTATATGTAACACATTGAGAATAGATTATTCATCAATCATTAGCCACAGCTCATTTTTAAAAGAGGGTTATATGTCAGTAGAGGTTAGCAACATTTTCCCAGCTACTAATGGTATATATATATACATGTCAGCACAGGCATTTCATGACACAGCCAGGATGGACTCAAAGGCAGGGGCAAGGAGAGTTCTCCCACCTTCCAGGGCCCAGTGCAACCCTGTTTCTGCTGGTGGCCAGCACTTAGATGGACACACGTTGAGACTCTTTCCATCTGTCCTACACCGGACAAGAGATTTTGTCTTGGAACAAAAAGACTGCTGGGGCAAAAGTCCCTATATCTGGGAATCAGTTTCCCTCAGCAGCCAGAGGCTCTCTCACAGAGGAATGGTGAGCAGCAGCACAGTACAGCAGAGCCCTGCTCCAATGCAGGGAAGGCCTCAGCCAAACCACTGTGATCTTCAGGCATGCCTTCAGGTTCTTCTGAACAGTACCTGACTCCAAAGTCTGCAGCAAAGCGTTCCATCTTGCATCTCGGGTTGTCTTGGAGGGTGCTTCTGCTTCGTGGGTGAACAATCTGCCCACAGGACCAAAAACAATTGAGGACCTGACACTCTTCGCAAACACTGACCTCATCATTTTGTGGTGGTTCTGCCACAGCATGGAGCACCTTTATTGGGTCTAACAACGCTGTAGTGGGGGAGGGTGCAATGACACCAGGCTGCAATGCCTGACCATATCTGATGGATGTTTTTTCATGAGGGCCTCCATGTCCTACTTCAAATGCAACTACCTAGTAAATTTTTTTCCCTAGAAAGCCAGCACACAAGGTGAGGACAACAGTGAAAGTAGGCATTTTGAACTTAAAAAAATTACTTTTATTTTAGGAACCAATAAAATTATGGTAAATATTTACAAATAATTATCTCACATAAAGGTTACATAAAACCAAATGTCCACAAGTAACAGTCACTCTCATGAAAAGACACACAGATATTGAACTACGCCAATCTTATTGCATGTTTCTTCAACTAATCTAAAAATAAAAAGTGTTGCAGTCAACCATTTAACTTAGAATAAAATCACAAATTCCAGTATTAACAGGAAAAAAAAAAAAAACCAACAAAAAAACCCCCCAAAAAAACCCCTTCAAACGGCCCCTTTTTTTTGACCCATGCCTTACCACCCCAGGTCCCCAGCCCACCTCCCTTTTTGCTACCCAAAACAAAACCCAAAACATAATCCCCAAAATAATGTTTGACGTCTTTGGCAAATTGGCACTGCTGTAATTACATTCAAATATTATAACACACAAAAGCAACACACAGCACTAAGGAAAAAACACCAAGATTTCAAGTTTGTTCTTTTCCTACTAGAAAAAAAGAATACAAAACATACACATTTTAAGAAGCATTTTTTCATCTGTTTTGCAACAGATGTTATCCCCTACTTTCAAAGGCAATTCAACAGTTATTTTTAGGATTTTTTTTGTAAGTTATTTTTTTGTTTGTATGTACTTTTCAAGGTGAGGAGGCTTTTATTTTTCTCCCTCTCTTTCCTCGCTTTTTAAAGAAGTAAGGTTCAATGCAGGCATTGCAGACTTTGGTGGTTACAATAGATACGTATTTCTTTGATGCTAGAAGTCCCTAATACATAGTTTGTCTCTAAGAAAAAAAAAAAAAAGTTATTTTCTTTTTCTTGGAAAGGAATTCCATTTGCAATGAAATGATTTTCTGTAATTTCAGAATGTACAAAGGCCACTACAAAAAGTGAAAAACCAGGACAAGATTTTTTTCCCACAGGAGGCTGAGCAAAGGGAAAGGCAGGTCTAAATGCCCACTGGCCATTTTTCCCACTTCATTTAGACAAGGCAGAGCCAGAGACCTTGGACACAGGGGTCTGGCTAGGTGGTGTCTGGGGCTGATGCAGGACTAGGATCCACCTCTCCACAAACCCTGCAAACTTCTGAGATACTCAAGTGTGCCTCCACATAAAAGTGTGTAGACAGCAATCCCTACATGCCTGCCCCCCTGGCAAGGCTGCAGCTATGCCTAGCTCAGTCCTTTCAGTCTGGCTTCCACCCTGGAGCCTCTGCATTTTGTGAGCCTTTCACAGGACTGGTGAGTGAGGCCACTGCTGGAGCTGGCAGCTGTGTTGCCAAGGTGAGCAATCCAGGCACCACTCTGACATGATTTTCATTCAGTGTTTGCATGTCAAGTCTCATTAGCTCAACCAGAAAAAGAACACTAACTGATTTTGATCCTTTCACGTCCTTTTCTCATACTGTGGTAACATGTACCTTTGACAAGAGCAGGTCTAAGGAACTACAGGGCTTTCTAGCTAGCATCCCCAGCCTTGTGTCACTACTGAGCACTCTGCTTCCAGAGCAGAGTGACATTTGGCTGCAGCTTGGGACGTGTGCCCAGTGCCTCTGTTAGTGTGGGCTGCCTGACCTGGCTCTGCCTAACAACACCCACATCTGACCATTAATTGCACACTTAGCAAGACTTCAGGGCGCCTTAGCCAAGAGCTGTTGGTCCTCTAACATCTCATCAATGAATCCAGAAGAAAAACAAAATTTTTCCAGAGTTTGCTGGGACAGAGTCTTGGGATGGGTCAGCCTTGTGCTGTGCTGCCTCTTGGGCCTCATGCTTCCCTGTGGCACATGCATGCAGAGAAGAGCATGGTACCAGGAAGGACACTTGGTCAGAGCCATGTTGCAGCCAGTGACAGCTACAGAAATTGACCCTGCTAGAGGCCACAGCTCTTGAAGCTACAGGTACCCGCATCTGGAAATAAGCAAGACCTTAACAGAGCTTCCTCTTGCCTCCATACTGAAGGATGTATAAAATACATAAATAAAAGAAAAAAAAAAAAACCAAAACAGGAATATAACCACATTAGCTAAGACCAGCATGACAAAGCATTTATCAACTGCTAAGTCCTGGCATGGTGAGGCCATCTCTCCTCCCTCACCCACCATGCTACTCTCTCCCACTGCGCTGCTCTCACACTACAGCACCAAGAGGACAATCACAGGGAGTCAAGGAGGGGTGACAGACTGTGAGCTTCTTGTACTCTGGTGCTGTTTCTTTCCTCGACACCTCTTTCCCAAGTGCCTCAAGCACCAGTGTTGTCCTAACACCTGCCAGTCCAATCAGAGAACTTCTCAGACATCTCAGAATGAACAATCGCTCTCTGGACCCATGACACCAGAGCCCTGAGCGTTTTTATAATTCAACAGTGATCAAAGAAAACTTTTGATCCGTTGATCCAGTCCTGAGACATCCAGAGCTCTGCAGTCTACTAGTAGAGCTGCCTAACAATAATATCTCCATAACTGAACCTTCAGACACAGATTATAACAAACTCAATGATCACAACATTTTGTGTCTTCTTTATGTTCATGGTCTGACAGCGTTTTACTGAAGGGTTCCTCAACAAGTCAGTTCATGCAATCCTGGCTCCAGCCTCCATTGATTTAGTTTTACAGCAGCATTGTCCCTCTCCACCTCTCAGATTTAATTTCTTAGCCTGTGTCAGCAATGTATTTGATAAAATTATTGCTGGAGTATCAAGTATTGGAAAACCCTTCATCTAACCAAGTGTATTACGGAGTTCAGTGCTGAAACTGCCTGAAGGCACTTTGTGGGATTGATTTCCACAAGGGTTTAGTAATGATTCACTGCTCTGCAGGGCATCCCTCCTGAGTAAAGGATTAGCAGGATTCCCCAAACCCTAGCACTGGGCTGTCTCTCTCCCCTCTTTGCAGCCCCTGAGGGTCATTTGCTTACCATCTCTGCCTCACCCTGTAACCCCTCCTTCATGAAATAGTGAGGCCACAGAGGACAGACAGAGGCAGGCAATCCTCTGTCCTCCACAGATGACCACCTTCTACCAACGGTGCCTTTCAAACATGCTCCCCAAGGAGGAGGATTCCCACAATGAAGACTATGGTCAGAAAGTCTTCCTGAGAAAAGCAGTTTGTAAATCTCAGGTGAAATATTCCCAAAAGCAGAAAGTACTGTCAAATGCCTTTCCCAGCAGCATGGCATGAATACTCCATGGTCTAACTTGTACTGGCTGTTTATGATAGAAAGATGCCCCAGCAGATGTGAGTGAGTAATGGCTGCCATGGTTTAGGAGGTGGGTCAGGCACAAGCCCCTGCTTTGCATGTGCAAGGGTGGGAGTTCTGGGTTTCCCCTAAGCAGCTGCCCATGCATCCACAGAGTCCCTGGGATGGAGCCCACCACCATACCTGGCAGGCCAAGGGCTGCTCTGATGAAGCCTTGAGGCCAGTCAGGCCTGAGTACTTTAGGTCACTTCAGCCAGTGGCATCCACACACATCCATAATTTGGAGAAAACATATCTGTCATGCCTTTCCGAAGTCCCCAGCCCAACTACAAGTACTTTTGGCATGAGTATGGTAACATCTGCTGAAATCTCATGTTTGGTCCTCTCAACATCATCTGAATTAATGTATGTCACAGTCCATGCTGCTGAGGAAACAAGTAAAAGTAATGTGGTTGCAGAAGAGTAGGCAGAGTGGGTGAAGGACCCACATGCCAATGAGCTGCAGCTCCCTCACTGGGCACACAGACTTGTTTTAGCCAAGCCTGATGATGTCCCAACAGCTGGTGTAACTCAGCATACATCTGCTCTAGATACATCACCAGCGCCAGTGGTCAAACGCTTGTTTCTTATCTCTTCAGCAAAGGCACTGGACAGACACATCCCCTTCTGAGCTCACAGAGAAGGTGCATGTGTTCAGAGTGGAGACTGTGCACACACCTCGGCCAGACTCTTGCACGTGGTCCCAGGGACAGAAGTGCCCTTTCCAGTCCAAGGAATGCAAGCAATCATGGGTATGCAGTTAGGTATGAACCCAAAGCAGGGTTTCAGAAGCTTCCTTGGGTAAATCTTCCATGCTATTATTTGTCTTTTGTTAAAAAAGATGTGTATCAGTAATTAATTGCTGAAAGATTAAAAGTGGCACTCATCTCATTGCTAAGTTTGTCTCAAAGCTAATTTCTAGGTTAGCTTAAAAGACTGGCTAAAATTTCTGATGGGATCTGTGAACAACATGCTGAAATGTCACTGAGCTGGTGGGACATGGCTGCTAAGGATTGGAACACTTCTGCCCCGGAAACTTGGAAGTGTCGACTGCATTTCTGTACCATGAGAAGATGCTACTGGAGTGGGTGAGGGAATTTCTCAGCAGATAGATGGCCGCTACAGATACCAGATATGCAGCACAAGTGATGACTTGGGAAGGGAGGAGAGAGAATAGTGTTAACTCAGGAGCTGCCAGAGAAATGTTTGTACAGCTTGAACCTGGTGAATACCTGCTTGAATATTCTTCTACAGGAGTGCCTCTGAAGTTTGACACCAACAACCTTTCTCCTGCAGCCAAGCACCAACAGACCCCTCAGCAGAGCCCAGACAACTCTGGGTGGATGAGGATGGTTGAGTTGGGAATAAAGAGGCTTTCAGCCAGGTCTTCATCTCAACAGGACCAGGGAGCTTCTCCACTGCCCCCAGGAGGGAAGGGATGGGGTTATGCCCATCGTCCTTATGTGGCTGAGGTTGTCTTTGCCTTAGTCTGGGGTAGGGGGAGGCTTCAGGGAGACATCAGCGGTTGTCCTGGCTCCATGGAGAGGCAGTGATTGATGTAGCTGCTTAGTGGTCATTTGTAGCTGCTCTGCTCTCATAATTTAGCCCCCCACAAGGTGCACATTGAAACATGTGACTATTAGTGCTTCCTATTCGATAGGAGGGAAGAAACATGGAATTAGCAGGGCAAAATTCCCCTCGGTCCCCACAGGACTACAATCTGCAATGCCTTCACAGAAATGTACAGACACCTGGAAACAAATACTTTCTCCTTCAGCTTGGCTTGGAAAGTGAGTGCAGCTGCCCTCATGTCTGGTACACCCTGCTCAATACATGCACATAAAAATCACAACCACAGTATTTCTTTGCCTTCCTCTCAGGGTTTTCATGACTGGGATTTAGCACACAATCTATACAGATATATGTAAGGTGTCAGCTGTTATTTAGGAATTCCTTCCTGGGTGCTGCTTAACTTGAAACCAGTGAATTTGTTTCAGTGTTTAGTATGATGACAAATGAACATAAAAATAATATTAAGCAGTAAAATATCACAAAATTGCCTATGTCTTTCCAGTTGCCCATGTGTTTGATACCAGCATATAGCATGATCACACACAACTGTCAAATAAGATGCTCTATATAGAAACAACATCAGCCAAAATACAGCCACGATGAGTGTTAACCTGGTTCAAAGTTGCTTAAAGCTTACTGAGTTCTTTGAATCAGTGCACCAGTTTCAAAACACACTTTTGGATGTGTTTTGAGTTCATACTTGTACAATGTTGCTGTTTATGCTTAAGCTACTCTTACAGTAATACAAACAAGCAAATATTTACACTGGTGTGCTTGCGTAAAATTGAGCAGACTGATTTTTTTTTTTTTTGCCACACACAAAACAAAAAACAAACAAAAAAAGAAAATAAAAATAAAAATAAAAGAAAAAAATAAAAAAAGAAAATTGCCTTGAGTCTCACAGCCTGTTTCAGTGTGCAGCAAGAGGGAGCTGTCCCAAGGGGAGCTGCTCACACCTCTTCCTTATCCCCAGATACAGCCATGGCACCCACAGGCGATTAAAGCAGTAGCCAGCCGGCTGCGAAGAACACGAAGCTACCACACGTTTTTAACCACACAGAGCTTCAGGAGTACCACTTCCTCCTGTTTCTCTGTTTGATTCAAGACCCAACCAGATTTAAAAATACAATAATCAGTTCAACAAGCTTAAAGAACAAAATTTCAATTATGATGTTCCTACTAAGTACTTTCTCTTTCCCTTTTGGAGTGGCTGGCATGGTGGCAGCAAGATGACTCGTCACGGTTGTCCCAGACATGCGTGCTGTCAGTGCCGATGCCCTGAGCTCCGGCGTCAGTGGCGGTCATAGGCAGCAGCAGCAGCTGGTGCAGCTGCTCCACGGGCTGTGGTGCTGTAGTAGTAGGGGGAGCCTGTGAGAAATGAGACCACTGTGAGGAAGACAAAGGTGGAAAGGTGCCAGCTTGCAGTGCTCTGACAATGGGTGTCAGACACCTCTCCAGCAAAGCTTCAATAAAGGTTGGGTAAATAGAATGAAAATTGCATTCATGCATTCTGCATGAGAAGAAGGCTACCATTGCTTTGCTTTGTTGCCTGGTGTTTGATACCTTCTTCCATTCCTTCACTCAAAACATCAACTTCATTTACTTCACCAAAAAAAGTTAATTACTTTTCAGAACAGGAAGTCAAGATATTCCAACCCCAACACACTACCATACTCACTACCATACTCTGGCTTCTTTAATTTTCTTCCTCCTTTAAAAAGGAGGAGGTTGAACCTGAAAGCATTAAAAATATTTCAATGAAAGCACTTGTTTACAAGAAGAGGCCCAAAGAATATCTCTGTCCTGCACGGTTAAGCACTGGTAGATAAGATGATTACCCAAGGATCACCAGGAACCTGGACTATTTGTTTGAATGAGGAAGAGTCTTTGACTGGTATCCAGAGAGACACCAATCTGTCCAGCCAGCACCAGTTTTAAGAAACCTTCCAAGCACACCTGCAATGAAACCAATTCTGATCCGTCCTAAGAAGGGAGTCTTCTCTCTTCAAGGTGCTACCAGTTTGGTCTGCAAGTCACCAGCTGCACATGCATGGGACGTAAGGCACATCACAGTGTGGAAGAACTCTCCTGGAAAGACCTTCACATGCATCTGAAATGTGACCTTCACATCCTGGAAAGACTCAGCCACATGCATCTGAGACCATCAGAGAGGTTTGGATGAACAACAATGAGCCAATGTGAGTAACAGCTCTGGAGTAGTCAGGGCTGTAGGGTTTTCATGAGTGGCCCTGTCTGAGAGCTGTCTTCCATTCTAAGCTCCCTGCCTTCAACACACATGGGACAGCAGTCTATCAGACATTGTCAAGGGTCTTCACAGTCCTGGATGCATCTTGCTGCAGAGTCAATGACTTCTGCTGCTTCAGTAACACAGAGGAACTGTCCCCACCAGGAAAAGGTGATGCCACTAGAGCTCAGGGGACTGTGGACCCCTTAGGAAAGCATCAGTGGCAGTGAAGCCAAAGGTGCATTATTTGGTTGTTCACTTTCCATCCCAGACTCTAGCAAGGACTGCTCCTTCAGATCCAATGATTGCCCAGCTCTTGGGCATAGCCTGAGTGAGGCAGTGCCCCAATTGTTCTATCACCATGGCCCTACACACCCTCTGGAGCAGTTGGCATGCCTTGTGCTGTTGGTAACATGCTCTATGCTGAGCACAAAGCCTTCCCCTCTGCGAGGCTGGAGAACCTCCTGCCACCTCCTCTTCTTGTACAGCCTCCAGATGAATGCTTTGCTGCTCCAAAATGACCTGAGTGATTATTTGAGGGCTGCTGGTTGAAAAGCCCAAGAACAGAGTAAGAATCACACAGCCAGACTCTTAAGGGGAGGCTCAGGGAAAGTTGCTGTTAACCATTGGCAAAATGCAGGGCTACCTCACTACTGTGGATCCAGCAGGATCAATCTGACAGGCAAGCCCAGCTGTTCTGTCTAGGCTGCTTTTGTCCAGAGTGCCACATCAGGAGGTCAACTCAGGCTTCATCACCAGCCTCCAGCTTTTAATTTCCAAGGGAGTACAAGCTGTTGCATCCAAAAACCAGAGCACAGGAAGCATTTGCTCTTGCCCAGTATGTGCAATATGCACAGTCAGTCAGAGAAGAAGACTTTTGTCATGATCACTGTCCTACCACAGAATGTGGTACTCTGCTTCTGCAGCCCTGAGGGGTCAGAAACAGGACTTTGGCTACTGGAATGTGTCTCCTGCACTGTGCTGTGGCAAAACAGGAGCTAGTACACAGTGTGTGGGTCTATGTTGTCCTCAGTTGCATCCTTAATGACACAGACATCCAAAACCAGACAAATCCATGGCAAAGAGCTGGGTTTAAACAAAGCAAAGCAATCTTCAGGAGTGTAGTCCTAGCTGACTAGAAAGATAGTTTTACTGTACACAAGAATAATTCAAGAGAGCTCATGAACTGACTGGCCAGGATAAACACTTGCAAAGATTTCTGTATACAAACTCTTAGGCAGGAGCCAATCTGACCTAGATTTATTTACAAAAGGTTAAAATATTTCAAGCCATAGCCAATATTGTTAAAGCAGATCCCTTCAGCAGGTCATCATTCCATTTATGTTTGCACAAGCGTAGTCTTGTGTTATCTGCTGAGGGCACCACAACTGCTACCCAGGGTTGGACAGATAGTTTTCTCCCAGGTAACTGACATCAGGTTAAGGAGCTGCAGCCTCAGGAACTATATTTCCTGGAGAATACTGAAAAGCTTCACAAGGACAGTGAAAACCATTCTCACGGGTAGAACAAAAAATTCTAAAATTAAATGCTGTATACTTCGTACCCCAGCCAAACTCAAGACATTGAAAGCACAGAAACTGGTTGAATTGGCCACTCTTGAATGAGCAAAGGCAAAGGCAGAAGTTAATGTGCATTGAAATGTGCATGCCATGTCTAGCTGGGGTTTTGAGGATGTTCTTTGGGGGCTGTCCTCTCGGGGTTGCCAAGTTTGCCGGCCCATGTCCCCTCATGACCTATCCAGCTGCACAGATGTCCTTGGGGATCATGGCAGGCAGTACCTTGAGGTAAAACAGCTCACAGGCCAGTGAAGAGCCAGGTGGAACTGTTGTCCTCACCCAGCACCAGGAGGTCAATATGAAGCAGGCAGTGGTGGTGGTCAGCAGAGACCCCAGTCCCCCCCAGGCACCAGCACCAGCACCAGCACTAGCCATGGCAGCTCAGCTCAGGCGGAGGCGTGAAAAACACACAGGAGGAATCCAGTAGCACCGAACAATTTCAGCTTGACTCATGGAGCAGTGTGTGGGTCCCACCAGAGCAGGATGCAGTGCTTACTGAGGTTTTGGGGTAAATGGGATCTTTTGGGGGTCAGAACCTTTGTTTTCCCACTCTTCTTCCACTGCTGTTCTGACTCAATGCAGCTACAAAAAGCCCAGTATTTCTCCCATGCATTCCAAAGGCCTTGCATTTCTCTCAAGTTAGATTTTGCCAGTTTGCCTTTCTGCTGAACAATCAAAGAAGCTTGTTTTTAAAGTGAAAAATGAAACCACTCACTCTTCCTGTCACCATGCCTCCATCCAGAACAGACTAGTCCATCCTTCTGTCATTTTTCCTTTCTAATTCATACTATCATCAATTTATTTTTTGACACAGTCATTTCTAGTGCCTACTTGTTCTCTAATCTTTCCACAGAATCCCACAGAGGAATTGAATCTAATCCTAATTGAGAAGCTCCAAACCCTGCCTTTGCATGATGCCTTGCCAGCACTGGCAGACATGGCACTGCAATGGTGCGGCCAAACCCTTCCAGCTAGCGCACTGGGACCACATCTGCATGCGAGCAGGGACATTGCATCAAACAGAACCCACAGTGCACAGGACTGAGCCAAATGCTACAAGCCAGCCCAAAAGTGAGTTGTTTTTCTTCATTAGACAGTGTTGCTGTTATCTGTCCTTAGCATGCACATGTTGAGCTGATCCTATGCTGGTGTGTACCAGTATGTGCCAACAGTAGTGGCCTGAGCCTGAGACATGCACATTTGCCTCCCACAAGCTCATGTGCATCCCTGAACTGTGCTGCTTGCAGGTCATTTGCAGGACAATGTGGGGGAAAAAAGAAAGGCCAAGTTCCTTCCCTCAACTCTTTGCCTGGCTTTGAGATGGATGTCTCTGACTCCAAGAGAGCTGTGGGTGCCACCAGGGCTGATGCAGGATGCGAGAGCAAACTGACTTCTTCTGCCCCTGCTTCTGTTCACCATTCTGGAGGACCATGGCTTGATTGTCTACTCTTCCCCAGGAGCCATGGGGCACAGCATTTGGGACTGCCCCAGAGAGGAGGGAGCACAGACCCCCATCTGCACTGGTTTCATGACAGCTGGGGCAGAAGAGGCTTGGTGCCTGGTGCAGAAAAGTGAGAAGCACCAAAGCAAGGGCAGAGCAGACAGTAGGGTAATGGTGAGCAGCTGGTGTTCTGCTGGGGCCAGACAACCAGTTTGCAGTGTCTGCATGAATATGGTTATGCCTTCTCCTGAACACACCACCTCACACCACTCCCTGCTGCTCCACACATATAGCACAAAGACTGTGCTATGGGACTGAAAACCAAAGCTTTCTCACTATTCTCATCTCTCTCTTTACTCTCCCCCAGATATAATTTTTCAATCCAAGTATCCTTTTTTCCACTTGCAAATCATGGCAGTTCTCCTTTTACCTTCTCTTTCACAGTCTCAGACTTCTGTGATTGCTGTGGTACAATTCTTCCTTGCCAGCACAGGGAATTAATTGAACGTAGGTGCTGCTAAATGCTTACAGTATTATACTTTCATCTCAGTGAAAGGAGCAGGACTTTGTAAAACAAACTGTGTCAGGCAATGTACCAGTCCTGATTAATTTTGTCAAGGTTTCTGCTCTGAGGCCGATACTGCCAGAGCTTGTTCTCAGGAGAGAATTACTAAATGCACTCACGTATACTCCTGAGAGGAGTGGAAGCATCCTGGATATAGTTCAAATTAACCTATTCTCCACTGCATGTGCCCAGGCTCATCACACAGCACCTCCTGGGTGTGCAAGGAGACTTGGGGCAGGTTCTAAAGTCCCTGCCAGAGACTCCTACTTGCCCTAAACTACCAGTGGGATTAGGAGGCACTAGGGAGAAGGAAATCCAGGATCAGGCTTCCAGTGACAAAGGCAGAGCTGTGGAAAGGGGGGATCTCTGCAAGGCACAAGAGACATCTGACCCAGAAACTGTGGTTGATTGCAGACACATTCTAGATCAGATCATACCACTGTATTTGGACCTACCTGTGGTCAGACAAGGGGATCTTCCTCTCCAGGAAAATCTCCAGTTTCCCCCCAGTTCTGTGACAAGACTTAACTTAAATGGTAAGTTCATTTTTAGGACTTGCTGCAGAAAAAAACCTTGCCTTTCATTTGTTTGTTTGTTTGTTTGTTTGTTTGTTTTTAAGTGCTGAAACAAATTATCTTGAAGAGGATAAAAATAAGGAAGCCAAGCAACAGGAAAAAAAAAAAAAAAGAAATAATCAGCACTGATATTATAGCATGAAACACTTCAATCTCAAGAAAGCTGCAGTTTCTGGAAAAATATGATAGCCACTGATTATTTTTGCCCTTGCCTCATTTAAACACATGTTCACAGCATGCTGCTGAGTAAATACTTCTGAAGAAATTTCCTTTAGCCTGAGAACGAGCTTTGCTGTGAGGAGTATACTATCCCCATAACTGCTCATATGTCAAAGATTAATGGGAATTTGCCCCCAGAATGCATGATCTAAAAAGGAAATGAGAAAAAGAGGACGACTGCAGAAAAAAAGGGAATGACACAGGTAAAAGGTCCTGGCAGCAAGCAATGGTCTCATGACCAGCTTTTGTCTAAAGTCTTCTGCTGACCCAGACCTACCCATCTCCAGCATCTTCAGGGCATCACAGGTACCTACCTACTTTGCCCACACTCTGGACAGCATGCTCAGAGATGGTACAGGCCCATCACCTCAAATAAAGAGCTGAGCAGGCCATGGGCACAATCTGCTGCAGGCAGAATGGAAGGACCACTGCCCACACCTGTGGGGTTGCTCAGGAGTGGCTCTGGGATGGCTCCATATAGTGTGCACACCCTTCTCATGGAGGTGAATATCCACCAGCAGGAACACAGTAAACAGCCCAGAAGCCTCTCCAAAAGCCCTGTTTTCATGCAGAAGGGCAGGATGAGAGCTGAGTTGTCATTTATTTTTAGTATCATGCTAATTTCTTCAACACTTTGGTAGGAAAATTTAAAAAGTTACACCAAACCTGGCTTCTCAGGCCTATCGATGATGCAGAGCACTACTGAAACAGCTTTCCTGATTCAAAAGGAGTTGCAAAATGAGAAATGAAGAAAGCATGGTGTGTGCTCTTGCCTCTGGCAAAAGCATCTTCTCCATGCTGCTCAACCAAAATTCTGCCAGCACCGCTGGCTGTGGCCATGGAAACAGCAGGTTTGAGCACGGGGACTCCCCTGGCTTTGTGCAGCTATGCCCATCCATATTAGCTGAAGATCTGTCTGTTGATTTATAATGGAAGCGGTAACAAACCCTTAAATGTGGCACAGCAAATAACAGCATTATACCAGCACCATGGCATGAGAGGCAGAGTCTGTCTATTGCTCCCGAAGGATTTGTTTAAGGACAAGAACCATGATGAATACTGCCTGGGTGGCTCAATTACATGGGGACTCAATTACTTAAAACAAAGAAACTGGATGAAAAAAGTACAAAAAAATTCAAAATTATTTCGCTGCTGGAGGTCACATATAACAGCCCTGTCATCCATAAATCTGGAAATCTCTAAGGCATGCTACTCCTGTGTTGAGAGATGACAATTAATTGGTATTTTACTTACCTCATCCATGCAAATTATGCAGGGAAAAATTCTAATTACTGCATGCTACATGTATATAAGGTCAAAGTGGGCCAGCTTTTGACGGGGTATAAAATGGATTATGTTTATCCTTCACATGAGGGCCATGATCCTGCAGGAGTTACAGGGCTTCTGCCTCCCATTGCTCATAGGGACTATGCTGACATCAGTGAGGCTGTACCAGTGGTCCCTTGCTGAGGAGAGATGGAATGGGAATACACACAACTGGGAAGGAAACACAACACTAAGTTAGGGAAAAATGCAAAGCACATGCCAGAGCAAGCAGCAATGGCATAGGAAGCAGTGGAGCTTACAACTGGCTATAAGCAAACTGGCACCACAAATTTTGTCTGAACAGGGTCCCTTAACCTCAAAAAAATGGCTTACCAGTAATACCCTATGTCTCTGAAAGAATTTTTATCCGAAGGAGGAAGATATTCGGGGCAGGTCTTCTTGTTGGCAAAGTGAACCAAAAGCAATCGTGCAGCCCAATGGAGTCCTGCTGTCCCATTCTGTGTCTAAGCATGATTGTGGACAAACTGAGACATACATTCTGTCCACCCCAGGGTTGGACAAACACTGGACATGTTGCACTGATCTCTCAAAACAGGGACGAACACTTACCCAGGAGTCCAGGGTTGGGAAACCTCCAGGAGTCATTGTATGTTGAATATTGTGGGTGGCTGTATGGGCTCCCAGAAAACTCGCTCCCTAAGTTAAGGAGACAAAGACAGAATAAAAGGTCACTTGATTTGAGATGACAGTTACCATTCCGAGGTAGAGGAGCTCTCCAATATGTGCTCTGCTCTACTGGCAGCCACAGTAAAAGCACTGCTAGACACTCTGCCTTGAGGAAGGGGAATATGGATGGGTAAGTTATTAAATAAATGGGTGCAGACATCTTTTATGTGCATTTTTTGTGCTACAGCCAAGGCCTCCTGAACGTGCTGCAGGACCAAGGAAATGAGGAGGGATGGAGAATCCTCTGGGACACGTTGATGGGGCTGGCCTTTGCCTCTCCAGCCCTACAGGACTCAGGGTGAGAAGCATAATACAAGGACAGGGCTGTCCAGATAAAGTCTCTGCTGCAGGAGAAGATGACCCAGTCAATTTCTAGATACCTGTCATGGAGAACATGGTCATGGTCCCAGATATTTCTTCAACACTGTAACCCAAGCAAAGGGATGTTTGCATCTGTTTCAGATGGATTTGAATCCTCCAGACAAAGGCACAAAAAAGGCTTGAAAAATTATGTCTATTTATCTCCTCTTTGGGTCCAATTCTTCTCATCTGTTTGTTCTCTTCACATGTCACTGCTTCATACTCCAGCTGCAAGCTCTTCAGAACAGAGCCTGCAGGGCTCTGACCTGGCCCTTCCACCATGCAAATACCAACACTGCTACTATTTTATTAGGAAATGTTCCTTGAATTACAGATTTTCTCATCTCTCTCTTTCTTCCTCCTTCCCTTCACCCTCTCATCTTTAAGACACATAAATATATACAAGCACAGCACAGCATAGCAGGAGAAAGGGTATGTTTCCTAAGGCATGATTTGAGGGCTGACAGGCCACAGCAGATGTTTGCCATGACCTTTGCCTGCTCTGGTCCTTGGCATTGGCATAGCCACAACACCAGACCCAGGAGCTGCCATAACCCCATCCAGGCAGTGGGGTGCTGACACTATGTCCTCAGCACCTCAGGCTCAGCATTCCTGTCTCATACAATCCATAGATCCAACCTGGAGACCACATCTGGGTCCCCTGGCCAGTGAGTGGCCATGGCTTAGGCCATTTGCTGGCACACTGGCCACAGGGAAGAGGGGACGATGCTCTGGTAACCAAAACATAGGGTCAGGTCCAGGATGGCTTGATCTCCACCTGATTCAGCTTCAGTGAAAACAAGCTGCTTTTCTGCCTGCATTGCAAGATGAACAGACCGAGTGTGCTGACAGCAGGACCAGCCTATCACTAGTCTGCTACAGGAAGTCTCTGTTAAGCATCTCTCCCTTGTTTCTTTTCTGCAGCCCTTCTGACACATATGACTGCACTTACCAGGATCAACCTACTCTCTCTCCCCACCACAACTTCCACAGAGAGCATGTCCAAAGTCTTCAGCAGCAAGTATTTCCACACTCAGCACACCTTGTTGTGCCAACAACTCTTTGCAAGCTCAGAGTAGGTTTTCCTTATGGCCTCTAAGGAATGGCATTAATTCACCCTGACCCAGGAAAACTGGAGCTATTACAAACCTTTCTTCCCAGGGAATTACACAGTACCTACAATGCTTCTCTGCTCCTGTCCCTATGGATGATAGATTACTTCAATGCCTGAAGGTTATCTCTGTCAGAGTGCTAGATCCTAAAAGAGTAAGGCACAGCGGAGTTGACAATGCCCAAAGAGATGTTAGGAGGCACTTGACATTCTGCAGCCACTGGCAAGAGCATCCCCATTGCCTTCCACCAGTCAGGGATCCATCTCTCTGCTGCAGGACACATCAGCTTCTCTCTGGTCCTTTCTGCCTCTGAATCACCACAATTGAGGCTGTTGCCTTACCCAGTGTCCTGCCTGATTCTTCCCTGCTTCTACAGCCCCTCTGCTGTTCCAGCATGTCTCTGGCCCAGACCTGTGTTTCTGGTGTTTCCCCAAGCCTGCAAAGCACACAGACAGCAGTCTGTCTGGGAAATTCACTTGTGAGAGTCACAATGTTTCCTAGTCCTGAAGTCATGGCCACATTCTCCTGTCAGTGTGTGGCACACAGAGATCTTCTAATCCTATGGGTGCTTCTTCTACACGAAGGCTATCACACAGCACCTTCCCCAGGGGTTGCATTTTTTCCTCTCCACAGGGAAGTGAGATTTTCAAAGGTTTAGCCCTGGTTTAGTTCCACAAAATGGCTGTGATGCCTGACTGGCGTGCCACAAAAGCAGATGGGAGTCTTATTGCTACATGCTTCCTGAGAGCTGTGCAATGCAAGGACACAGGGACAGAGTGGACAGGACAGCAGGACAGGCCTATATCCCTGTTGTGGGCTGTTTGCACAGAGTGCACAGAAGAGGTGTCCTGTCCCTCATGCACCAGGAGCACCCCAGACCTGAAATAAAGCTCACAGTGAGCTGTTGCATGCCTGCAAGAGCTTCATCCCAAGGGGGAGCATTCTCTCCTTGGACAACTTGACACCTAATTTTTCAGCTGTCCCAGAACTCTCCTCTCCCTCGATCCCTTCCTCCCTCCTTCCATCCCTCTCTCCCTCCCTTCTTCTATTCTCCTGGAGCTGCACAGACCCAGCCCATTCCATGCTGATGCTGTGTATGCTATGGAGAGGGCAGCAGCACTTTCCAAACGTTTATCACTGCTACAGCAGGGCTGTGGGTGGGAATGGGCTGACATTTCATTGTTTCATCCTCTCCTGTCTTGCCCTCCTCCCCCACCATCCCCACTGCCTCCTCCCCACACTCACACACAGACACACATCCTGGACCCTCTCTGGGGGATGCTCCAGTGCCTGTCAGGCTGAGGCTTCCAATTCTCTGTTTTTTATGCCTCAGTGGTCAGGGTGTCAAGCTCCTGCAGTACAGACCAGCCAGAAGCTCGAGGAGTCACTGAGCACCATCAGCTCAGTGACAGTATTGCTTCCCTCTTAACATACTCTGCATATCCATCAGCCTTGCTGGGGAGGGGGGGAAA